TCCCATCTCTTGAGGAATTTTCCACAGTTCATTGTGATACACAGAGTCAAAGGCTTTGATGTAGTCAATAAAGCCGAAGTAGATGTTTTTCTGGAACTCTCTTGCTTTTTATGATCCAACAGATGTTGGCAATTTGATCTCTGGTTCCTCTGCCATTTCTAAATCCAGCTTGTACATCTGGAAGTTCTAGGTTCGCATACTGTTGAAGCCTAGCTTGGAGAAGTTTGAGCATTACTTTGCTAGCATTTGAGACGAGTGCTATTGTGTAGTAGTTTGACCGTTCTTTGGCATTGCCTTTCTTTGGCATTGCCTAAATTACAAAAGTTAACATGCTATAAAATGTCAGTATATATGTATGGGTCCCACGAAGACTTATAGATCTTCTTTTCTAAGCCTGGAAAGAGACAACGGCAGCTGGAGGACATTTTGAGTAATCATTTCATCATTCAGAAGTGCACTGCGCTTATCTGAGAGTGTAAACTAGAGTAGACAGATATTGGCCCTCATAATGCAACGTCACAGAAGAAGTTGAAAGGCGTCGTTGATTCATTCATCCAACGTGAGTGGTTACAATTTAGCAGACAAAGTTCTGATCTAGATCACTGCTCAAAAAAAAAACTGAAATTTCTCATTCTTTCCCCCTCCTTCACTCTCCTTCTCCAACCCCAGAATCTGTACCCTCTTCCCAAATAAGGGGAATTTCACACTTGATGATCTTGGTAGAAGGCAGGCACCTTCTTCCATTAGACAGAAAACCTTGCTTCCTAAATATTCCTGCAGGTAGAAAGAGGCTGAGGCCCCACCAAGCAGGTTACCACATGCTGGACTCTTACTTAGGACATGGTGCCACAGAGAGACGGGAACCGCACCGGATGCTTTAGGCACACGGCATGCGTGGCAGAGGCGGCCGTGTGTCGTCCAGGCGTCAGAGCAGCAGAGAGCAGTCTAGTCATGGGGTCCGTTGTGCAGCATCAGGGCTGACAGCGCTGTGAACAGTGGTGTCTGAGCTCACCTGCGGGGAAGGGGTTCCTGTGCGGGACCCGACCTGGGTGGGGTGAGGATTCTGTTCCCGGCTGTGCCTCAGGGCTGGTCAGCGGTTTTCCCTGAAATAAACCCCAAATCACAAGTGTGCCTCTCTCTGTTCCCTTGAGAACAATTTGAAATCTTTTTTCCCCCCACCCAGAACTACCTAAGAATACATGTAGGGAAATTTCAGAAAGCAAGGTTTCAGAGACCTTTCCTTCTGCTTTATTATGATTGATATACAATATTGAGTCAGTTTATGGTGTACAATTGTTGATCTGATACACTTCTGTGCTGCAAAATAATCACCACCATAGCTTTATATGACAACTGAATCATATCACATAATTACCTCTTCTGTGTGTGGAGAAAATTTAGATCTACTCTCTTAGCAACTCAGAGACTCTCTTTATGGTGAGTTGATAATCACTTCCTAAATTTTCACCCTCCTGGCGATAGCACACAGCAGAAACATGTAACTCGCACCAAATGTTTTATCTTTTTCCTCTCAGGAAAAAAAACATTTAAATGTGTGTTTAAGACCCCTCCCCACCTTAATCATTCTCTGATCTTTAACATCAGTGGATCCCAGACTGCTCAGGACAGCTTGTAGGTATTATTACAAAATACTCGGACTCTTCCCAGATCCACCATCTAGAATGTAGGTCACGGAGTCCGGGAATCTATTATGAACAAGCCATACAGGAAAGGCTGGTGCACAGCTAAGTGGGAATCCAGATCTGTGTTCTTGCTCTGAAATGTGTGATCTGAAGATCAGCACCAACCGTGTTATAAGTCTATTCCAGACCTTTCTGTCTCTAAGAGGAGTGCAGGTGAAGGACATTCCTTCAGGTCCTTCACGAACAATCAGGACCCCTTTCCACGTGCCATCTAGACCCGGTGTCAGAATGGTGGCATCTGCTCAGGTGTGTGGTCTGATCAGTTCCCATAGCTTGGGGGATTCAGGATTCAGTCCTTGTCCTTCTGCTTCTGTAGCCAATCCTCCCCTCATCTGTGACCTCATCTGTTCTCAAGGCTTTAAACATCAGTTATATAGTGTCACCTCTTCCATCTATTTCTCCACTCAAGTCATTTCACCTAAACCCTAGACTAGTAAACCTAACTCAGTTGCCACCTTCCTAAATCAAATGCTGAAGGTGAGAGCTCCTCAAACTTGCTCCTTCCAGAGTCCCCTCATTTCCACAGTGAGCGCCCCACATGCTTACTTGCAAATCTCAAATTTTGCGGTCCTCCTTCACTCTTTCTCATAACTCAGATTTAATCCACTAGGAAATGCTATAAAATGCATTTTCAGAATAGATCAAGAATCCACTCACTCACTATTATCTTCCCTGCTCACACCCCAGACAAGCACCAGCATCCCCACCCTGGACCCTGCGCTGTTTCCTAGAGTCTCCTCTACGCCTCCCTCGCCCTTCACCTCCTGACTCTGCACAGCAGCCTGACTGACGCTTCTAGAGAGCAGTCACACCAGGTCCTCCTCTGTTCCAATCATCCTATAACTCCATAGCTTACTGAGATAAAATCTACACCCTTCTAATATGCTGGAGGCCCACAGGATTTGACTAGATATGGGATCTCATCCCAATTCCTTTTCCTTCAGCCACAGCTGCCTCCTGGCTCTCCCTTGAACAGACACCCTCCTGCCCTCATGCATTTGCACTGGAGGCTCCTCTGCCTGGAGAGAACCTCCCCTAGACGTACTTGTTGACATTCCTTCATGTTCTTCACATCTTTACTTAAAGGTCACCTTTTCAATGAGGCCCACTGTCCACCTAGTAACACAGTCACCTTCCCTGACCCCATACACTTATACTCTTGGTCACCTTCCTCAGAGCACTTACCAACCTGTCTCGGGAAACACTTCCCTCCCTTACTAGGCTCATAGTATATGCTCTGCCCCTTCTCCTAGAACACACTGCACATCGTGGACAAGGTTTGTCTGTTGTTAGTTCATTGAGTTCTCCTAGATGCAGAAAGAGGGTGTCATGTCATGTCAACAAATATCAGTTCAATGAATCGTCAGTGTAAAGCACTTCCCTATTCTAGATATCGAGTCTTTATTAATGTGGTCTCACGCCACATGCTGTCTCGTGGCAGTTACAGCACAACATCCATTCGCACTGACCTCAGTGCTGCCTGCATTTTACTCACAAAGGCTGATCTCCCTTCCCTCCCACACCAATCAACCTGCACACCACACACAAGGCTCTTTATCTCTTCAGGAAGGAAGATCCTTTGCTTCCAGCTCCTATATTCAACCTGCTGTGATTTTATTAGACTCTGCTTTCTAAATCCACGAGTTGAGATGGGAGCCAACAGTAGCTTTAGAAGATGTAAGGACACTAGAGGGGGCAGACTGCAGAGAAGAGAGAAATCCAGCAAGAATTAAGTCAAGATATGAAACTATTGGGTCCCTCCTTTTTGCAAGTCCCAGCATGTGGTTCCTTTAAAAAGACGGAGAAAAATTGGAAAGAAGAATCCAGCAATATCTCTAAAAGGAGGGCAAGAGCTGGATGACTTTGAAATTTCTCTCTTGACACCGCTGAGATCCTGTGTGCATGGATCCTTTGGACTTGTGGGGATGATGACAGGCAAAGTGACGCCTGCTACTGTCAGAGATGGGGTCACCCAGAGAAGAATGAGACCAGGATTCTACACATGAAAAAGAACAGTCATTACACCAACAACAATAATAGCAATAACTAAATAAGCAAAATATAAACACATTAAAAAAAATACAGGAGCTAAGGATTGGTCCAAGGCCTGATCCTAGGCTAACTGATTAAGAAACACACCCTGCCCATGGTCCTGGATATACAACTAGGCCCAGGTGACTTCTGAGTCCATGATCACAGGTCCTTAGTAGGACAAGGATTTAATGAAGGGACAAGAACAAAGGAATGGAGAAGAGGACCCTGTCCAAGAGTGACCAGGGGCGGCGCATGGGCAGTCCAGTTCCTGCCCACCATACACTGATCACTGACTGGACACAGGCCCTGTCCACACTCAGCTCCTCACAGCCTCCTCCTGTCACCTCCTGCAGCTGACTCAGTACAAAAACATGTGGATGGATTTGGAAGGTTCTCAGTGTTTCAATGTATTTCCTCTTTCAAACTTTAGGAATTCTCAACTTTATTATCTGATCCTCTGTCATGGCACCAATTAGAAAAAAGAAATTCATATATAGATTTTATATTCAAAAAGGAAACAAGACATCATTCAGTTCAGTTCAGTTCAGTTGCTCAGTCGTGTCCAACTCTTTGTGACCCCATGAATCGCAGCACGCCAGGCTTCCCTGTCCATTACCAACTCTCAGAGTTTACCCAAACTCATGTCCATCGAGTAGGTGATGCCACCCAGCCATCTCATCCTCTGTCGTCCCCTTCTCCTCCTGCCCCCAATCCCTCGCAGCATTAGGGTCTTTCCCAATGAGTCAACTCTTCCCATGAGGTGGACAAAGTATTGGAGTTTCAGCTTCATCAGTCCTTCCAATGAACACCAAGGGCTGATCTCCTTGCAGTCCAAGGGACTCTCAAGAGTCTTCTCCAACGCCACAGTTCAAAATTCTTCGGTGCTCAGCTTTCTTCACATTCCAACTCTCACATCCATACATTACTCAGAGCATATGAAGCAGACATGGATTGAGACAGCCCAGCCCTGTCTCTGCTGGAACAGGACAGTGGATGAGGGAGGAGAACACAGGTCAGGGTGGGGAGGGGGCGCGGGGGGCAGGGGTGGGCCAGTCTCCCCACCTCCTCACGTTATGCTAATAGGAGCACAGACACGTTCAGATGCAGCTGCAGAAAGAGGGGTCCTAGGATATGATGTCACCAAGTGGGACCGAGAATCACTCAGTCCCCACAAGGCAGCTGTCTCGCACTGTGAGAGAAAAGAATCAGGAAGGAGTTCAGGTCAGTCATGTAAGCACTCACATTCTCCACAGCCCCCCACAAGCTCACATATCCCACTCAAAGATCCCCGCCACCCAATGTGTCCCCTCTGCCCCAATCCCCCTTCCAGTCTAGACTCTCAAGGGTCTCACTTTTAGGAACCATGAGAGACACATCAGAACCCTGGGCACTGTCACTGCCTGGGGGAGAACAAGACCAGGATGTGGTCAGAACCCACAGGAGAGAAACTAGAGAATGCACTTTGAGGAGGGTGAGCCCCCCAGGGCCTCCTGTCTGCACCCTCACAAGGGTCTCAGGAATCACCCCCTTCATACTTACTTGCAGCCTGGGTGTAGATCCGTCCTTTTTCACCTGTGAGAAGAAAATATCACGTGAGACACCAGGGAGCAGGCTGAGTCATGAGATCCTAGAGGAACCCCTAGTCCTGAACTCCAGAGAATTTTCTGGAACTGCGGTCAAAACTCATGATAGGATCAGGAACACAGAGAAGGGAGCTGTGTAAGAACTAGACCACCTATCCTCCTGGAGGTCTGTTCTCAAAAGTACCTCCCTCTGACCTTCAAGTGCTGGAAACCTGGTCCCTAACTGGAATTAGGAAGGCGAAAAATTTCTCTTTCATTTTCACACGTGCTTTAGAAAAGGAAAAAGTTAACATCAGCTCCAGACTCCACACATGTGTGGAAGTACTTTCCAGTAACCAGGCAGGTAAATTTCTACCTGGGCTTGAAACCCCCAGTGAGACAAGAAAACTCAGATCCCTCCCTCCCTTCCCTACCTGAGTGCTTCTTCCTCCAGATCACAGCTCCAGCCACCATAGCCACCACGAGGAGAACCAGGCCAACAATGATGCCCACGGTGAGGAAGGAGGTCCGAGGAGGTTCTGTGGAGGAAAGGGAAGAGGCCCTGACCTCAGGTTTGAGTCCTGACCTTGCTGAACTGAGTCCTGAAGGGCTCCTGCTTTATCTGAGAGGAAGCTCCATCCCATCCCCCTCCTTACCCCATCTCAGGGTGAGGGGCTCCTGAAGCCCCTCGTGCTGCACACGGCATGTGTATCTCTGCTCCTCTCCAGAAGGCACCACCAGGGCCGCCCACTTCTGGAAGGTTCCATCTCCTGAAGGCCTGGTCTCCACAAGCTCCATGTCCTGGGTCTGGTCCTCTCCACTGCGCGTTGCCAGGTCAGTGAGATCTCCTCAGGGTAGAAGCCCAGGGCCCAGCACCTCAGGGTGACCTCACGGTCAGAGATGGGGTGATGCGTCACATGTGCCTTTGGAGGGTCTGAGGAAGAATCAGAAAATTCAGTTTGTGTTACCTCCATGGGTCACTGAAGCAGCATCATGTGACCATCCTGAGAAAGGACAGAACACTGATTTTTTTTCCCAGCTTTACTGAGGTATACTTAACAAAAACTGTACACATTTAAAGTGTACTACATGTTGCTCTGATATATATGTACACTGTGAAGGTAATTAATATATTCATCAACTTACCTATGTGTGTGTCTGTTTCACAAGGGTGATGAGAATGATTAAGATCAATTTTAAAATATACAACACAGGATTATTATTAACTATAGTTACCAGGCTGTACATCAGATCCCGAGATGTATTATGAACTTTTTTACAGGCTGAGCTATGGAACATTCAAGACCATGTTGTTGAAAAAAGCAGCACAAAAGCTAGATAACACTCTCAAATCAGAGATCAGGGATGATCTATATTAGTCCTTGGGAATTTCTAGAATGAGAGACTAGGCCAGGAGCTCTAAAAATGGGAGGGGGAGAATACAGTCTAAAGATCTTGAGTCTGGTGGAGGCTGAATGACTCAGAAAAGCTGGAGTCAGGCCTCCTAAGGTGCTCTCAGGGTGAGAACAGGCCTTGAGAAAGTCATGGATCACAAGATGGTGACCAGGGTCAAAGGGCACCGCTGACCAGCTATTTCAGGGATGATTTGTTTCCTGCTTCTTCCTCAAAGATACTGGATTCCTTAATTGTCCCTCAGAGAAGTGGGGCCACTGGTGACTGTCTTGTACAGAATATGAAAACCTGGGCGGATTCCTTGCTCTCCTGACAAGAACCTGGGGCGCTGTTCCCACAGGGACCCCATTTTCCTCTCCTCGTGGGAAGCCAGCTCCAGCCCGAGGGGAGATCAGGGAGGCCCCGCGCCCCTCGTACCTGCGCGCAGCAGCGTGTCCTTCCCGTTCTCCAGGTGTCTGTGGAGCCACTCCACGCACGTGCCCTCCAGGTAGTTCCTGTCGTGATCCGTCACACCGCGCTGCTCAATCTTGTGTTTGGTGATCTGAGCAGCCGTGTCCGCCGCGGTCCAGGAGCGCAGGTCCTCGTTCAGGGCGAGGTAATCTCTGCCGTCGTAGGCGAACTGATCATACCCGCGGAGGAGGCGTCCGTCCGGCCCCACGTCGCAGCCGGTCACCTCCTGGAGAGTGTGAGACCCTGACCCGCCCCGACCACCCGCGGTGATTAAACCCAAACTGAAAATGAAACCGGGTCAAGTCCAGCCATCTCCTCCCGGGTCGGGGTGCCGGGCGTGTTCCGCAGTGTTGGGGTGACCCTCGTACCCGCAGACTCGGGGCGACCCCGCCGGTCCCTGGGGATGGGGGTCGTGACCCGGACCCGGGCCCGCGTCGCTCACCGGCCTCGCTCTGGTTGTAGTAGCCGCGCAGGGTGTTCAGGTTCGCTCGGAAGGTCTGTGCGTTGCCCTCGGCGTTCTGCGTCTCCAGATCCCAATACTCGGGCCCCACCTGCTCCACCCACCGCGCCCGCGGCTCCATCCTCGGATTCGGGGCGTCGCTGTCGAACCGCACGAACTGCGTGTCGTCCACGTAGCCGACG